AGAAAGCACTTAGTAAACATTTTTGGATGAATGAATGAAGGATTTTCTACCATGCAGACTTTCTTTAAAGTACTAGAGGCCTGTTTATTTATAGACTCAACATTTACTGCTTTGACACTGACTTAGAAGCAAATTGCTGATGATCTTTGACCTGGAGACACTCAAAAATCTATTAGAGGAGAGGGACGTAGGGAAAAAATTATAATATAAGTTTGTATGAAATTCTGCAGAAACTTAGAGAAGGGGGTGAAGGATCTATCTACATTTAAAAGTAAAACTTAATTGAGTTTAAAGTTCGAAGTATAATTTATTAGAAATGTAATAGTATTTAATTCCAGTGGTAATTTAAAAATTGAAAATTACTTAAGTTTATTCTGTCATGGTATAGGAATAGAGAGGTCGATCTCAAGGATATTCATTTTGAGATAAATGTTAACTATCAATTTCAGTTTATCAGGCATTTTCTCAATCATTTATCCATCCATTTATTCCTTATTTAATTTTTTCAACAATCCAGTAAGGTAAGTGGCACTATTTCCCCATTTTATTGAGGAAATTGAGATCAGGGAGGTTAAACAACTTTCTTGAGGTAACACAGCTGGTAAAGGACAGAGGCAGGACACATTTACTTCCTTACAGGGGCTGCAAGTTCATAGCTCTTTGTATTATAGGTTCATTTTGTAGAGCTCTGTGATGTTCCTTTAAAGGGCCAGAATTCCTGATGCTATTTAGCTTTCCAAGAGGCTTCTAATTCTTAGAACTCAGCCAAAATGCCAACTTTCATGATGCCTTTCCTGTGAGAAGTGATTTCTTTAGCCTCATTTCTTCTGTGGCATTTTATTAATATTCTTCTGGCATTTTTACTTTTTTCCCTTATATCATAACTATGTGAGTCCAGTTTTTATTGTTCTACTTTCAAACCTCTCTTGAGGTCAAGAGAGTTCTGGATATTTTGGTATTAATCAGCACGTGTTCAATGAGTCCTGTGTTAGTTCATGAGATTTTATAATTAATTTATCATGAGCGATTATAGTTTTTTATACCTTCATTAGAATTCTTTTGTTAATTGAATAGATTGAGAATGACATTTTATTTTCCTTTTATTAATTTTTAGATAGGTATTTTGTTTGGTTTATAAGAACTAATGTACTGTTGACATGTTACTCCTTCCTGGAGTAAATGCCTTAAGAAATTTTAGGCACTGTCATTGGTCAGGGGAAGCTATTTTGAGGCAGAGTGAATTATGGTACCGCTTCATCACACCTGGAGGTGGTGAGAGTACTCTTCTCCCACTGATTTATAGATAAGTGTAGATTAAGCTCTGGTGACTTGTATTAATCTTTCTTTGATAAGGATCTTTACCAAATTCTTGTGATGATCAAATGTAGCAATGCATAGGAGGTCATTTGGATATATAAAGTGCTATGCTAATAGAAGTATGGGCTTTTTCTGCACCCAGAGAAATAAGTATCTCTTCTTTCCGAATTAAAGCACAATTCTTTCTCCAAACACAATGCCTGCTTTTGACAACATAGACTCCTATTAGAATAATTTCTTAGCCAACTGTTATTTTTATTCCAAAAGGCAGGTTGCACTATGCCAGGTGCTTTTACATATTTTAATTATCATAACAAGTCTTGAGGGTAGTGTTTCTCCCTTCATTTTAAAAATGAGTAAATCAAGGACCATCGAGTCAAATATAACTTAGCCAAAATAATAAGTGGCAGAGTACAGATCTAATTTCATATATTCCGGGTTCATTTCTTGATACACTTAGTCAGGACAGGCAGAACTATCCTGTGGTAACAAATTGCCCACAAGATTTCAGTGGTTTAATATAACAAAAATTTGTTGAATTCTTGCTCATATGAATTCCATTGTGGGCCTAGTGACTCTAGAGGGAAGTTATCCTTCAAGAGGTGATGATGAGGGTATTTATGCTGCTTTAGTCTTGTGATGCCACCATCTCAACATGAGACTTTCAGGGTGCCTTTGCAGAAGGAGAGTGAGAGCTGGAGTGTCATATATTAACTCTTGGATACTTCTGCTTCGAAGAGAGCCATGTCACTTCTGTTCACAGATTGTTAGCACTGCCTAACTTTTAAGAAGTCTGAGAATTGTGGGGGAACTCATGGATATCCAGTGAATAGTAACTATCTCTGCCAGACCACTTTGTAACATGCTTCCCCAGGGAAATTATTTTTGCATAGTATGTGTTTCCTTCTTGCTTACATCAGGGGTAGTTTGTTAACATGTCTGGGCCACATTTTATACTGCGAGTGCCTTGGGGTCAGGAATTAAATTAATAAATGAGCTTATTTTTCAGTTCAATTCAATTAAATGTTATTGAACACTTGAAATTCCAGGCCTTGTTTTCTTTCCATTATCTGTAGGCTCCGTCTGTTTATGTTTGTCTGTACCTACCTACCTATCTACCTACCTACCTACCTACATTATATGTGAAAAATAACTAGATAGTGCTAGATTTTAAGTTTCTCCAGGACAATATAGAATAGTGGTTAAAACACTGATTTTAAGGGTTAGAATTCTGGGTCTGCCCCTTCCTAACTCTCTGACCTTCTGCAAGTTGTGTGTGTGTGTGTGTGTGTGTGTGTGTGTGTGTGTGTGTGTGTGTGTGTGTGTGTATGTAAGTAACAGATTAATTCATATGCCATAAAATCTACCCTTTTATAGTATACAATTTGTAGTTTTTAGTATATCCACAGACTTGTGCAACTACCTCCTCTATCTCATTTTCGAATATTTTCATTATCTCAAAAGAAACTTTATACTATTAACAGTCACTTATCATTCTCCCCTCCCCTCAGCCCCCGGCAAATACTAAACCACTTTTTTCTTTATGGATCTGCCTGTTCTGGACTTAGGCAGGTTATTTAACCTTTCTGTGCCTCAGTTTTCTCATCAAAAAAATGGGGACAATAATACCTACTTCATCAGGTAAGTGTGACATGGGAGTAGGAAAAAAGTGAAAACATTTTGAATTATGTGTGATATATAGTAAATGATATTTGTTATGTTTTATTATTCTGTTCAACATTATTGTGATCATTATTTTTGTATAGCAGCTAGGATAGGACTGGACACACATTTATTCAATTTCCTAAAGCCCCTACTGTGTGCCAGGTACTATCTTAGGGGATCTCGAAAATGGATTAAAATATTGTTGCTGCTCTCAAGCTGTTCAGTCTTATGGCAGAGACAGCTATATAAATAGTATATAAATATATTCTAACATGAACTAAACCTATCAGGTGGAGATTCTTAGGCTCAGCAATGTTAAATAAGTTACTCAGGGTCTTGTAGGTAATAAGGATTTGAACCTGAATCTGACCAATTGCAAAACCTATTTTTACTATTTTCTGATGTTTACAAAAGGAATTTTTTTGCTACTTCTCTGTAGTTGTAAGTCCTACAAAGCAAAAACTATATTTTTGGCTAAAAGAGCTTGACATTCAGTGTATGTTTTAAAAAATTCAGCCACTGGAGCCCTGTTTTATTGCTCCCTTTTTACCTGTTTCTGGCAAGAAATAAACCTGACCACTGGGGAGGCCCAGCATGCATCCTCAGTTCTGGGGAGGATGAGCTGTGCTTCATTTGGCTTTATCCATTGTTTACCCCTCCAGGCTCCTGACTGGTACGTACCTCTCCTCTGGGCAATGAGGCTCCTTTGCATAGTCAGGGACTTAGGAACCTGAATGCTTGTGCAGAGCTACCTGTGAATGAGAAGTATGCTTGTCATTAGCCATGACTTCCCAGCAGCAGATGCATTCATCATTTGGCTTTAACTTTCCCATCCCCACCCCGTTTTTAGGTTCCATTGGATCTGTCGGTAGCGGAGCAGCTTCCATTGAATCCAGCAGCTTGTTTCTGGTTACATAGGCATTATCTGTAACCACCCTTTTGGCTCACCTCATGAATGGGCTAGTACTGTGGTTATTTTCCACAGAATACCAAAGTGGAGAGGCGCCTTAAAATTCTCTGATTAACCCCTGCTAGTTTTACAGAAGAGGAAAGCTGAGACCCTATAAAGGGAAGGTATTTGCCCAGATTCCACAGATTCTGTAGCAGAGATGAGACGAGGTCCCTGATGCCTCGACTCTAGGCCAGTTTTTCTCTCTATGGGCTCTGGTACCTTCTATTTTCCCACTCATGTAACATCATAAACTCTTAGAGGGCAGAGGTCATGCCTTGTGTAACTTTGTATCCCTCAGAGAGCTTAAGTTATTAAGTATAACTAATAATCTCTCAAGTTCATTATCTGATTTTACATTGGAAGGTTGTGTTGCCTAGTTGAAAGAGCTAGGTAGACCTAGATGGGGCTCTTGGGTAGGAATCGATGGAGCTGGGGTTTCAACTCGGATATTGTGAGTCCAAGTTGTCCAGCCTTCTTTCTAGTGAACTATAACTGGATTGGTATGATTTTGACAAGGAAAAAAACAGTCTAGACAGAGCCAAGCTCCAGAGGCAGTGAGGATTGATTGCATTTGGAGAGAAGCAACTAGTCTGATGCAGACAAAGCAAAGGTTGAATTAAAAGAAAGGAGATGGGAGAAGGCAGTGAGAAACACTGGGTTGGAGGGAAGGTTAACAAGGTTTGGAACCAGAGGGGATTAGTCACTTTAATGTGGGCTTTTTATAGAAAGCCTCCTGGAGTTAGGATCCTTGAACTGGGTCTGAAGGATGGTTAGGATTTGAATTTACAGGTATAGCAAAAGTTTTGTGGAGAAAAGTGAGCACACACTTCTCTTCCTTTTTAAACAAAGTTGAAAAGCCAAGTACCTGTTTAATTTGCCTAGAGCATTGTTGAAGAGAGGGGAGTGCTGGAGAATAGAGGTTGGGGATAAGTTTTTAAAAGCCTAGAGTACTAAATTTGAGAATTTAATTTTTATTTCCATTAATAAGCTCTCTTTTCAAAGATTAGTTATAGGAATCTTGGACAACAGCTGGGTAATGAGCTCTCTGCCTTTTTACCCTTTACAGATTGGGGCTTTGTTTTAGACATTTCACTTTGATAAACTTACCAAACACAGCTCTGGCTATTCTTGAGGAGCCTCAGAGGTCTATGACATGTTGGAATTTCCTACTTTCCTGAGGTAAGCATTTGAAAAGCATTTGATGAGATGGTAGTGGATGAATGAGTTACTTAGCTAAGGAATGTCTCCCACTTACAGTTAGTAGCACTTGTAAATTTGGGAGTTCTTAAGCCATCTCTGGAGATTTGTCCACAAATGATAAAGCTTTTAATATGTTCCCTTCTTACATACTTAATACTCAAGTCCACAATCAGCATAGCCCTGGAGTCTAGTCCCAGATCTACTCCTTGACTTGTCTCTGTAACCACGAATAAGCATCTCTTCCCTAGTTCCTGCATCCATAATAACAATAATGCTAGACTGGTTACTCTCTGAAGGCTCTTCTGGTTCTGATATTTTAAGACTCTGTATATGGAACACAAATCAGCCTTTTCTTTGACATTATTCATGTACACACATCATAATGCATAAAGCATAATTATATCACAGTGACTATACACATGCTGGCCTATTCAACACATGCTCATGAAACACTTCCCATTGGTGATCATGCTACACTGACTTTTTGAGTATTTTTTTGTGTCCTGGCCTTTTTATGTCCTCTGCTGCCTTCATGTTCTGGCTGTGCCTTCTGTCATCATGCAGAGCAAGCCATAGACCCAGGGACATCTCTGTTCTCTCGTAGTATCAGGAAAAACAAAACAAAACAAAACACTAAAAAAACTCAGCCAGCTGCTTCAATTTAAACTGGCTTTCCTGGCAACTACAGATTATCCATTACTACATCCTTCAGGGCTCAAAGGAAGAGACATGGCAGTTTTGCTCCAGGGCTCAAAGGAAGAGACATGGCAGTTTTGCCCTAGTTTGGTGGAAAAACCCCACACCTTACCTTTCCTGTCAGTTGCAAGTACATATCTTGCATTTCCACTCCTGCTTTATAGCAGTGTTAAAGATGTTTGAAAGGAGACCAGAAATGCAAAAGAGAGAGCTAGCTATAAGGAACTATATTTAGAAAAATGTTGTTTAAGACTACTGTCTTTGGACATGTTTTTTCCTCATTTTTATTAATTTGCTCCATAGTTTTGGATATGAGTAATAGTAATAAGCATCCCAAACATTTCATAGCACTTTAAACTTCAGAGCCATTTTCCCCGTACATAATCACATTTTCATAAACAACCTGGAGATGGTACTTACTATGAATACTTTTTATTGAATACTTACTATGTATCTAACACTGTGTTGAGTGCTTTACATATATTATTTCATTTAACTTTTATATCAGCTGTAAAAGTGGTATTATTACCATTTAGAGCAGAGGAAGACACTAAGACCCAAAGAAATTAAGTAAGGCACCCAAGATCACACAGTTACTACGTGATGGAGGTATGATTTAAATCTAACCAACAGTGCTTGGCTCCACAGCTGATTTTGTTAATATCTGTGCTTAACTGGCTCTCTGCAAGCTACAGCATTGTATATTTACAGATGAGCAAACTGACTAGAGAGGTCATAACTTGCCAGTACTCACATGGCATATATCTGGTAGATACAGGACCTGAATTTTGATAATTTGATTTAGACTCTGTCCCCGCTGGTTTTTAGTCATTTTTTTTTTAACTATTTTTATATATTGATATGGTGAATCACTTTACATTCTTTCGGGTTAGTCTTGGAATGGATTATAAGTAAATTATAAAAAGTCTTACTGGGGATGCAGAGAAAAATAAGATGCTGTGTCTAATCTCAAGAAACTAATGGTTGGTTGGATGTAAGAAAATGACACATACAGAATTAGAGGTGCTCTCATCATATAGTAGCTGGGGGAAAACGTCCGAAATGAGTAGTCCAGGCTATGAGTGATTTTAAAAAGAAAAACATATAAGTGTGAGCTATGATTTAATAGAGGTTTTTGGGGGGATGAATGGGTTTAGTATACACTAATAAAAGATCCATAGCCCTCTTAAATGTGATTAGGAAAAAAACTACAGAATTTTGGAGCCAAGTTTTGTTTTTAGTAGGAATACAACTCTGAAATGTTTATATATGTAAATAGGAAAAGCAATATATGTGAAACTCTAATGAATTTATAATTCAGTATATTTGTGTTTTCAGTGCCTGAAATTATAATTGTTTATTGAATGAATGAATTTTGGGCCTGAGTCTGAAGGTGCAGGGGTACTGTGTTGTTATTATAATATAACATGCTACAAAGAGCGGCAGAGAGAACCTTTAAAGAATTTTTAGTCTAGCTTCTTCTTCTAACTGTTGAGGAAAGTGGGGCCCTGAGAGTGGAAGTGACTTTTCTCATAAGTTGTAGAAGAGGACTAGAATCCATTGTGCCTGGCAGCACTAATGGTTTTCTGGAATAAATTACCAATATTTTCACAAAGATTTCATGAGAACAGATAAACAGAGATAACATTGTTGAAAGTATTTTGAATCACTGACTTTACAGATAAAGTGAGGATATGAAGGTTTGGTTTTTTTCCTCCTTATTTCTATAGATCTTGTGTACCAAGTTTAGATTAGAAAGGTTTGGTAAGTTGAACCTAACTTTTGATCATAGTTTTCCCACAGCGCACATCTAACAAAGCTTTTTCCCTCAAAGGCCTGGTTGGAAGGAGTAACCTTTATTTTTGATGTATAATTTACCTCTCCTTCCTGGTGTTTGAGACTTATTGGTCTTGATAAATACCTGTTTTCTATGCACAACATATATTTAACATGGAGATCCTGGTGTGGAGCTGCTTAGGAAGCAGTGAGTGAAAGTGCGCAGGGCAAGTTAATAGCATGCACCTTCTTTTAAACCATTAAAAAAATTTTTTAATTATTTACAGTTGACATTCAGTATTATTTTATATTAGTTTCAGGTATACAGCCTAGTGGTTAGACATATAATTTATGTAGTGATCCCTCAGTAAGTCTAGTAGCCATCTGACACCATACATAATACAATATTGACTATGCTCCCTGTACTGTACTTTACATCTCCATGACTATTTTGTCACTAACAATTGTACTTCTTACTCCTTTACACTTTTTTACTCAGCCCCTCAACCCGCTTCCCATCTGGCAACCATCAATTTGTTCTCTGTATCCATGAGTCTTTTTCTGTTTTGTTTGTATTGTTCTTTAGATTCTACATATAAATGAAATCATGTGGTATTTGTCTTTCTGTGTCTGACTTATTTCATTTTGTGTAATACCGTCTAGGTCTATCCCACTTGTCACAAATGGTAAGATTTCATTCTTTTTATGGCCAAGTAATATTCCATTGTACCACATCTTCTTTATCCAGTCATCTATTGATGGACACTTTGGTTACTTCCATACCTTGGCTATTATAAGTAATGTTGCAGTAAACATAGAAATACATACAGCTTTTCAAATTAGTGTTTTGGATTTCTTTGAATAAATACCAAGAAGTGAAATTGCTGGGTCATAAGGTAGTTCTATTTTTAATTTTTTGAGGAACCTCCATACTGTTTTCCATACTGGCTACACCAGTTTGCAATTCCACCAACAGTGCACAACAGTTCTCTTTTTGCTACATCCTCACCACACCTGGTTGTTGATTTATTAGCGATAGTCATTCTGACAGGTACGAGATAATATTGGTATTTCATTTGCATTTCTCTGATTAGTGACTTTGAGCATCTTTTCATATGTCTATTGGCCATCTGTATGTCCTCTTTGGAGAATTGTCCTCTTCATGTCCTCTGCCCATTTTTTAATAGGAATTTTTTTGGGTGTTAAATTGTATTAGTTCTTTATAAATTTTGGATGTTAAGTCCTTACTGGATGTATCGTTGGTGAATATCTTCTCCCATTCAGTAGGTTGTGTTTTCATTTTGTTGATAGTTTCCTTCCTCGTGCAAAACCTTTTTAGTTTGACGTACTCCCATTTGTTTGTTTGTTTTTTTGTTTTTGATTTCCTTGCTTGAGGAGATATATCAACAAAAATGTTGTTAAGAATAATATCAGAGAGTTTACTGCCTATGTTTTCTTCTAGGAGTTTTATGGTTTTGGGTCTTATATTTAAGACTTTAATCCATTTTGAGTTTATTCTTGTATATGTTGTGAGGTGGTGTAGTTTCATTTTATTTTGCATGTATCTGTCCAATTTTCTCAACACCGTTTATTGAAAAGATTGTCTTTATCTCCATTGTATATTCTTGCCTCCTTTGTCATAGATTAATTGACTGTATAGGCGTGGATTTATTTCTGGGCTCTATTCTGTTCTGTTGATCTGTTGTCTGTTTTTTAGCCTCTACAGTGCCATTTTTATTACTTCAGTCATATAGTATTATAGTATAATTTATAGTCTTATAGTCTTACAGTATAGTTTGATAGTGTAATACTTCCAACTTCATTCTTCTTTCTCAAGATTGCTTTGGCTATTTGGGGTCTTTTATGGTTCCATATAAGTTTTAGGATTATTTGTTCTAGTTCTTTGAAAAGTGATTGCATTGAATCTATATATTGCTTTGATAGTATGGACATTTTAATAATGTTAGTTCTTCCTATCCATGAGTGTGGTATATGCTTCCATTTATTTAAATCTTCATTTCTTCAGTGTCTTTGGATATAATTTTTTGAGTCCAGGTCTTTTATCACCTTGGTTAAATTTATTTCTAGGTATTTTTTTTTTTTGATGTAATTGTAAATGGATTGTTTTAATTTCTCTGATAGTTCACTATTGATGTATAAAAATGCAACTGATTTCTGTTTATTTTTGTATCCTGCTACTTTACTGCATTCATTTATCACTTCTAATAGTTTTTTTTTTTTTAGTTTTTTTTTTTTTTTTTGGTGTAATCCTCAGGGTTCTCTATATTTAGTATTATGTCATCTGCAAATAATGACTGTTTTACTTCTTCCTTTTCAATTCGGATGCTTTTTATTTCTTTTTCTTGTCTGATTGCTGTGGTAGGACTTCCATCTACTATATTGAATAAAAGTGGTGAAAGTGGGCATTCTTGTCTTGTTCCTGATCTTAAGGAAAACACTTTTAGTTTTTCCCTGCTGAATATTACTATATTACTGTATGCAACAAT